GATTGTTGCAGAAACACCGAAGATCTGCACTCTTCTGGGTGCACCTTTGTAAATGCAGTTTACATTAAAATGAAGATATGCTTGTTTAAAAAATGATCTCGACTCAATGTAAAATGGGATGGATTACACAACTAAAGTCAATTTCATGTTGTTTTTTTTAATACTGAAATGATTGGAAGCCAAAGGCTGCCTTGGAGGTAAACAAATGTTTACTCTAAAATCTCAAACTGTTGAACATGGTTTGAAAAAATAGTCAAAAGATTTATGATTTGAAGGAAATGGTTGAAAACATAAAAAAAAAGGAACGCTCCTTAAGCAACCACACTCAAAGTGTTTGTATCCAGGCCTGTAGTGTTCCATTCATAGCATTCATCATGACTGTAGTTGTCCTTGTCCTGTTTCTCATGTTTGGATAGACCAGGCTGCTCTCTGATGCTGCTGACAAGCTCTTCTACCTGATAGGCTCTACATCCTGTTTGCACACTGACAATCGCATCAGCCCAGTTCTGATTTATTTTCTTGGTACTCGCCTTGAACCACAATTTCGCTCTCTTTACATCTCTCCAATCTCAAAGTACAAGTGTTGCCTCCCAATGGCTAATGGATTGCACGCAGCACAGTGTGTCTTTTAGTGCATGTTTCAATGCCACATATATGCGACATACTGGGAAAACATAAGAGGATGAATTATACTTATATGACAATATTCTATGGGTTCAATCCATTGACCATCAATATGCAGCACTCAGAGAGCAGGCACTTGTATGTTTCCATTTTCAACAGCTTTTTACTTGTATACGTCTTGGATGTAGAGTGAAAGTGTTTACATCTTCAAACCACTTATAGAACATGTTTTGAACAACATGAAATCATCGTAGCTAATGTAAATGGCAATGAAAACAACAACCTGCAGTTCTCTTAGAAAGCAGCCTGTTCCTTTGTCTATGAAATACTTTTTTTGGTCTCGGTGATTCAGAAGAATTTCAACGCCTACATCATTCCGTTTTTGGACAGGCAGTGCACGAAGCCCTCGTGAGGTGAAATGGGAGGGCAGTCTGTGGTGTGATGCCAAAACAACAATACTATAAGAGTGTGAAACCTCCACAGACAGCCCACAGATGTCGTGCCGCTTTTTACACCCAACCAGATCAAAGTGAGTTGAACCAACAGCCAATCACATAAAAGCTGACTATTTTTATTAAATGGAAAGTATATCATTGACAAAAAAAAGAGGAGCGTCCTCCTACTTTCTTGAGTGGAGTCAGTAGGCTGCACTTCTACTGGGTGAAAGGCTGAGGCTGAGATATATTTTTGTACATATATTTATGGTCCCCAGAGGATGAATCCTAATGACTTTGGTGATCCCCTGACTTTTGTACCAAAATGGGATTTAAGTTTTCACTTATGAAATGAAATATCTTAGCATCCTGCCTACTAGATTGGCACAACATTCTGGACAGACATTCATGTTCCCCACAGGATGAATTGTAAAAACTTTGCTGATTCTGACGTTACACCCGATGTCGTCCTTTTAATTTGCAACTACATTGGTTTAGTTTGGTGGGATGCGTTTTGTGTCTGTGTTTGATTAGCATGCTCGACTAAGATAGTGAACATGGCAAACAGCATGTTAGCATTGTTATTGTGAACTTGTTACCATACTGACGTTAGCATTTAGCTCAAAGCATCGCCTTGTCCATTTGCTGTATTAGTGATAACATCTAAAGGGGAGAACCAAAACACTTTTCAGGAAAACTTCTTTTGAAAAGATAACTTTACAGAAAAAAACTAATTTTTGTTGTGATCAACAACTCACATGTGTGTTCTATCAATACCAGGTGTTATCTTGTACAAATATGGAACAACTCTGGTGTAGTTTGATCTCGAATGGAGAACGCACGTGGTTACTTTGGACCTTGTCTGACAATGTCCTTGCTAATCTTAATAAAAAGATAATAATAACTTTAAATTTCATCGTCGCTGTAGACTAGAGGGACTAAAGAAACACGTTGACTTGCTTGTATACTGAAAAACTCTCACATTGCAAACTTCAGGATGTGTTAAAGTACTCATTTAAATTGAGGGTGGTTGTTTCCTTTGAAATGACAGAAAAAGAATAACGAAAAGAAAGAAAAATCACGATTGTGTTATACTTTGTGACATCTGTTTCTTTCCTGACTGACTTATTTTCTGAACAGCGAAGCAGGCTGTAAACTAGTGCTGCCATAGTAAAAGCTGAATTTCCTCTGTGATGATTAAATGTACTATATTTGTCAGTGCACTCAACGGGCTGATGAGCATGATGATACCACAGCGTGCTGAGTGGCAGGAGACATGTTTGCCAGATGTGTCATCAATCACTCTACCCAAAATACACGTCACACTAGCAGTGAATAGCAAATCCGGTCACAGCTAAATCCCACTGAAATGTAGTTTAATTGAATAGCTAACCAGGAATTAAAAAGGGAAAGTCAAAACTTCAAATGCTGTGTGAATTAAATTGGAGATTATCCTGATTTAAGAATAACAGTTATTTTTCAAGGTCCCTCCAATCTGTGGTTCGATTCACAACCGTTGTTGTCTGATGTAATGTTACTCCCATCAGGTGAACTCAAGTATCCATTTATTTGGTACTTTCAGCACATCATTTGCATTTTAGCAAACTATTTCAACTGTTTCAATCTGTTTCAATACTTTTAGTTAACTATTCTCAACTTTTCTATTCTCTTTTTATTCATAAATGTCAAACATTTATCCACTACTTTTAGCTAACTTTAACTATTTACTCTGCTTGCTAACTAGCTGTCATGCACTCATTTATTACTTTATTTTTTTTTTTTTCAAAGTAACTAAGCTACTCCACCATCTTTCCACATACCTCCTGGGGTACAAGTGGGCCTTCACTTTGGGAATAACTGCAGTAGATCTTTCAGACCACAGGTCACATTTGACTCAAATTTGTTGATGCAGGATAATGTAAAAGTACAGCTTTTCTCAAATGATTTGAGAAAAGTTGTACTTTTACATTATCCTGCATCAACACTCGATTAAAAACATATAACTGCCAGTGTTGTCCTCCACAACCTGGCTCAGAGGAAAGCAAACAGGCTATAATTTCCAGGCAGGCTATCAAGAGGCTCATCCACTTGGCCTGTACAACAAAAACAAATAAGATAACTGTTACATGTCTCTGGATCTTTGACCCTGCAAAGTACAATAACGTCAAGGGATCTCAAGTGGATGTAATGTGATGTTTCATCAACTACAGTCACTGGGATTAGATCCAGGTTTGTGTTTACTGCAGGGGGGACTTTGCTTGGCCAGGATGACGACTGGAGATGGATCCCCTAAAACACTGTGAAGATTCCAGCCCTGCTATGTGGTGGGCTGCGGGCTGTGGCTGCTGTCTTTTATGACAGATTCCTTTGAGGCAGGAGTATCTGAGGGACTGCAGAGAGGCACTGCTCAATGAGCAATTTATATGTTTTCAACAAAGCTTCTTCTTTAGACCCTGAAGGCAGGTCTTAATTGTTAGACGTGATATCTCCACTCCCCCTCTGCCTCTCCTCTTTCTTTGACTGTTTTCTTCTCCCTCCTCCCACCCACCCTCCCTCCAGCTATTAGGAATTGGATTTGGAGCAGAACGATCCATTTAGTCTCTCTCCTCCATCTCTTTCCCTGCTTCCACACCTCCTCTGTAGGTTTCTCTCATCAAAGCCGAGGCTTAATCTGTCTATTTTTACCTGAAGGAATGAAGGGATGGGATGAGGTAATGCTTTTCCTGTCCATCAGGTGAGCAGTGGTGCATGGGCTCTCTGGTGTGTTTAGTTTAGGGAGCTAGCACCACCATGTGGACAAAGAAAAGATTTAAAAAAAAAAAACAATTACGAGAGCAACAGCAGGGAGGGACAGTGTGAACAAATTTACTGGATGATGACCAAAAATGATCAAAGCAAATCACATAAAGAATCTACAGCTGAGTCAGTATAAAAGCTATAAGTAATAGAAGAAATGATAAAATAACTATGAGGGCTTTATGAAATTTGAGAACAACTGACTTTCATTTAAGTACTGCAAGTCCCTTTGAGGGAGTCCATAAGTCAAACAACGTTGATGTGAATGTGTGAAAGCAGAGCTCCACCTAGTGGATTAAGAGAGTCGGTGACAACACTTTTTTATCATTTTTTTAATTAAAATTAAGGCAAGGAGCTTTGATTTCTGCATTCAAGTCTGTAATTGAGAAATTACACTTTACATAAATATATCAGCCATAAGATAGAAAATGTGTCAGTCCAGAGTAGACCAGCTGAGCTCAATATTTAAACCAGCCTATCAATGCACAGATTATTTTTTATTTTGGTATATTTGGTAGAGACAATGCACATTAATAAAACATTCCTGTAAAAGTGCCAGAGTTAGCCAAGAGGCTATTCTTCATCTGTAGAAGCAGTATGTGTGATATCCATCTGTCAGAGGGTTAAAAGAAGGAGTTATTGCTCTGAACCATGTGCTTACATTTTTTACTTAGAAAAAACTGTAGCTTTTTAAAAATATTTTCCTTACTCATATTACCAAATAAAAAAAAAACAAAAAAAAAAACACATAGCTGGAAGATTTGATTCCTATTCATATCAAAATATAATCAGACACTTCCTGGTCCTTGTCAAATGTCAAACCCCCTTCTTTTTTTTTTTTTTTTTTTTTTGCAAGGCACAAAATCTATGGCAGTGACACAGCTGCTTGAAGTAAGGAATGATTTCATTGGATTACGTAGCAGATCTTTCTGGTATTTGTTTCATAGTTTGGAGTATCAGTTATCATACAATGGCAGCATGATGTATATCCTGTTCCTTTATTACCTGACGTTAGGTTTCTATGTTTCTATACAGGACTACACATTTGCCTGAGATCACCAAACGGGCTAAAAAAAAACATTAACCCAAACCCCACCTTTTATCAACATTTGTTTTAAATATCTGTATGTCATACATAAGAAAATACATTTAAAAATAAATAATACATCTGAAGAGGAAAAAAATCTGAAAAAGAAGTGGGGTTTTTTACATCAAAATGGGGATACAAATGCAAAGAAAGTCAAAACAAAAGCTCAGAAAAGAAGTGAGAAACGTGTTTCCATCATCTGTGCAAAACTGATCCATCCTCACTGTTCCTTACAACTTAGTTACTCTGTCAATTCCTTTCTCTTCCAGCACTTGAAGGCACAGCGGCGGTAGGGGAAGCTGCAGCATTTGGAGATGCCGTTACATCAGAGAGAGAAGGTCAACCGAGCGGTTGCATCGTAGCCCGTTCTTCAGTCCTCTTTGTTGTGGCCGTTGCAGCTCTTAGGTTGGCCGAAGCAGCGTTTGCGCGGATGGTTTTCAAAATCGAGGTAATCCTGGACGAACAACGGGTGCTGCTCTATAAAATGATGAAGTTCATCTGGAAAAGGGGGCAAAACGTAGAAAATGGTGTTAAATGTTATTATTAATGTCAGTGAATGTCGGGTCTTAACATTATTAAACATGTCTGGTATATTTTTTTATTGGTAGAGAGGGGAGTGGAATAAATCTTTTATGTAAATTTAACGAGCTATGTTTACCATTTTAATATCGATATGTTGTTAAGTTACTTTTTTAAAAGCATTAGTGCAATTATGAGGATTCCAGGCCAGCTTTCATTCGTCTGTGTACTGCGTTTTACATTATGTGCAGATGGGTTTTTTCATATAAAAAGAAGAAATAGCTTCATAGTACAAAGAAAGAGTGTACAGAGAAGCTTTGACGGTTTTTAGAAGCAGGTGGTGGATGTAAAGGATTCTGGAAAATCAACAACAGACGGTACTTGTACTCTTCAGTAAAGCCAAGAAGAAATCACACGGGATGGTGACAGCGCAGAGGAAGATGCTGTCAATCATCTCTGCGATGGTCTCATATGTAGAAGGGTATCATAATTCATTCTGTGCTGAGGTTGAATGATAACACCGAGTCTTACCATATGTGATCTTCGCTGTGTGAAGTCTGTCAAGCGATAAGAAAAGACCTGAAAGTTCCACCTTTTTCACTCCCAACATTATTTCAAAGATGGCGGCGAGGTCCTCTTTTAGGACGTCCCCGTTCTCCTCGTTCTCATACATCTGCACAGCAACATATATACTTTTAGTGAAATGACTTAAAACCTAGATCAAACCAGATTCAATGGTACGTGTGCTCACCGTAAAGGCCAATTTGAGGGTCTCCATTGACTTCAATGGTCGATGAACGGTAGACAGAGCAATAACATGGTGTCTGACGTCTATCTGTCCATCTCCATGCTGGGAACAAAATAATCTCAGTGAGCAGAACAAGCAAAGGAATAACATGATGACAATTGTTCCAAATTTGTTACCATCTGGAGCTTAAAATCCTGTAAATTCAACTGGACAAAGAACTTTAAATTAAGCAAAGCTCAAATCACACATATGTAAATGCATTGGCATTCAGCAGACTTCATATTCTCCACAAGAGGGCGTGATCAGTCATTGACAAACCAGTACAACACATGAAACCTACAGTATGTCACCTATGAGATAGGAAAGCTATAGCAATAGTTTGATCCTTTGAATCAGTGGATCACATAGTCTCAAACCCTGGCCTGTCAAAACGACCACACAAGAGACCTAAAACCGCTCCAGGATGAAAATGCAGCAAACTTCTCAGATCTAATTGGGATTTCAAAAAACCTTGAATAAATACCAAACTGTTGTAGGGAGTCATTGACACCATCCGCCCAAATATTTGCACAATTATGAATATCATTTTACTTCTATATTCCCCTCATATTATAACCATGGCACTAAAAAGATGTTTTTTTGTGCATGATGTGTTTGGCATCATGCACAAAAGTGACTTTTCTTTTTCTATATTAGATCTGAACTTTTTGCAAAGGTACATTTTAGGATCTTTCTCCTTAAAGGGTAATTTCAATATTTTTTTTGTGTCTAAGTGACCAACAGGGACAAATGGTCCGACTTCTTTCCATAATGTCAAACACTTATACACAATAATAACACAATAATAACAATCAGAGCCTGTCGGTGGCAAAAACAAGCACTTTTAGTGGACGTAAATGACGGTGCCATATGATTACATTGTAGCCCGTGAGCGGCTGCCGTGAGCGGCTGCCGTGAGCGGCTGCGGTCGAGCTTGATACTGGACCAATTATGGAAGTTGTTGTCCCTATTATTCAGATAGACACAAAAGCAAGATGGGGAAATAAGGTCCAGGTTGAAAAATACCAAAGTTACCTTTGAATTTTAAGTTGGTACTGCTAAATTGTATGGTACAGAGAAGTCAGGCCTCTACCTCCATATAAATGACTTTAAACCCATAAGAATACACGTTGTTTCATAGCTGATGACTAAACATCAAGTATACCTATTCGTTTGGAACGTCATCTTTAATCTCTACTATTATACTGTTCCGTGTCTTTTACCAGTAATCCTATTGTATGTTATTATACATACTTGACTTGCATACATTTATTTATTGGTTTTTTTGTCTGTGTTTACCTGGTCAAAGAGGCTGTGGACTTGTGTGAGTGTGTCTGTAACTGGCAGGTTGAGGAACTGGGAAAAGTCCTCCAAACTCAGCCCGTCTCCCTGCAGCTTCCTGGCTCTTCTGGCCTGCTCCTCCAGCACTTTGTCGTTCCTTCCTGCTCTCAGCCTGCCAGAGACAACACAAAGAAATCACATCGTGCAACAATGTAATAGTCATGCTGTTAACCACATACATGGACAAAATCTGGATATAAAACCTAATTTCAGGGAACTTAATCTTTAGCAGTTTTTAAAAAGACTAATGCTATTTTTAAGAATTCGCAACATAACTGTATAAGTCGACTCATCCAAAGTTAGCGTACTTTTTGTGGCTATTTCATTAGACGGAAATGACGTAAATTGAATAAAACGTGAATAAAAGAACAGTGAATGTGGCAGAACATCTGTGCTGTAGAACACCAAACATTTCACATGTGTTTTTGAGTATCCAAAGTCTTGGATCACAACCACCTTCCACCCAGTCCGATCAGTCAATCCAGTCTCACTTGACTCACCCCAAGCGGCACACCAGCTGGTGGAACTCGAGCAGGCTGCTGCAGTCGTGTATGCGCAGCGGGCCCTGCGATAGGCTAATCTCACGATCATCAAACCACAGATCGGTGAGCGGAACCTCAAGCGCCCTATCAGCACGAAAGGAAAAAGGTTTACGAGGACATTCACACGTGTCTGTGTGTTATGAACACACAAAATCCAGCATTTATGCAATCACACTTACTTGGCCATGAGCTTTCGGACGTTGTTGGCAAACAGAGCAGGGTTCTCCTTCTCCTCGTTTGAAGGAGTGTAAATAGGCAGGTACTAAGGAAAGAGAATGTCAACTTAACGTCATTGTCCGGTCACAAAACTGTGTTCTGATCCGCTATATAACATAATAAATAAGGAATTACACATTCATCACATATTTTAAGCTAATATTTTCTCAGTTTGTTAAGATTGAAGATACTATAAACCACTGACCTCTATCTCCATGGGATTATGAGGTTGGCACAGAGTGAGCCATAGGATCTTGAACCTGGAAGACAGAAGAGTTGGCTTTGTCTCTACATGACGAGATAGTATCAGGAAGAGAAATATAATATGATGGATGGAGACAAGGCCGGAGATAATGGAGGTTTCCCTGCAGCATCTCACCACGTTCATTCTTAATGGAAAACAGGTCACTGGTGTTTTAACAACATACAGTACTTGGCTGAGGGCAGTAGAAGCTCTGTGTGTGTGTGTGTGTGTGTGTGTGTGTGTGTGTGCGCGTGTGTGTTATGGTTAGTGGTTTATATAAGAGTGAAGGTGTGTGAGACAAAGACAAACACTTACGCTCCGGGACCTTGCCACGTCCATGAAACAGTATCCTGTGGAGAGGAAGGAGAAAGAGGAAATGGCTCAGGACAAACACACACACACACAGGAGGTCAATTTCAAACTATTTCTCAAACTTCCTCGAACTGCTGTTTATTTATTGTTTCTGGCTGAAGACCAACACACTTCATACATAATACTCGTTACTGCTAATTAATCCCTAAATACTGATTTACAAGACAACTTTAAATCTTGTGTTTACCAGCGACGTTTTTTTGGAAAAAATTCAGCATGAATGAGGCATTAAAAAAATGACTAATCGACTAAAGAAAAGTTAGTCGAATGAGACCAAAATGGCCGAGAGGGCAGCACATATTTGTCCTGATAATGTTTTAACATTTTGAGCCAAGATCTCAAATTACACTAACATTTAGGAATGTGGAGTTAAAAAGAAGTGAGCATAACTCTTTAATCTCTGTTTAAGGGTAGTGGATTAAGGCTAGATTCGTCGTTATATACATACCTAGGTTAATATACCTGAACTTCCAACCTAAATGTCAGTAACAATCGGTTTTTTGTTAATGTGGGTGGGTGGATTGGCTGGATTGGTTACAGGTGTTTCCATTTCCAGCTGCAACGTTTCTCCACAGCTTAAAAGAAGAGTTGGAAACAGATGGAGTGGAAACACTTCTGGCGGTGCAGAAACAGAGTCTTATTCAGGTTTTCTGTGCCCCACTTAACTGCCCTGTACTGTACTGCCACGTTGTCACTGGAGTCAGCACAGTGACTAAACTCGGCACAAAGGGAAACGGTGACAAAAGCTTTCGAGCTAAATGCAAAAATAAAGAAGTAAAAAAAACAAACAAACTAGGTAATAAGAACTGCATAATTCATGAGAGAGGGAGGAGAGGTGGTGAGAGAGAGACATGACACCTGGGTGTGTGTGAGAGCGAGAGAGAGAGAAAAAGGGGCGATGAAATATCATCCTACTAGAACATGAAGTCATTCAACACAAGAGGAGCACATACTAAGGTACACAGACCTAGACCTAGCATGTCTAGGTCTGTGTACATGTATGGCTGGAGTCTAAACCCTAAACTGATGTCCAAGGAAACTTTGAAAACAATTCAAGTTTAGAGCGTCTCTCTAGGTCACACGTGTCAAACTCAAGGCCCGCGGGGCGAATCCGGCCCGCCACGTCATTTTATGTGCCCGCGAATCCACCAGCAAAAAAAAAAAAAAAAAAGAAAAAAGTTTTTTATTTTTTTTTTTATTTTGGAAAAAGAAATTTAACTTAGACTTGAAAATAAAAATATCCCCATGGTCGAAATTATGAGATAGAAAGTTGAAATTATGAGATAGCATGTTGTCTGTGTACCGACATTAAAACTATCACAACAGGTGGACAGGAGAGGGAACAGCCCGTAAAGAGGTTTTCCAACAAGTGATTGAGTTGAAAAAGATCGACAAATAATCCCAAAATGTCCACGAAGAGAAAAATTGATGCAGAGGGAAGAAGATGTAATTTAAGATGGGAAAGCGAATACATGTTTGTGCTTCAAGGAGAAAAACGGGTCTGTCTTCTGTGTTATGATGCGTGTCGGTGATGAAGGATACAATTCACGTCGGCATTTTGACACCAAACACGGAGCTAAATTTAGCCTCCAAGAAAAACATCAAATTGTCCAAGAATTAAAAGGCAGACTGCAATCACAGCAGAATATATTTACAGAAGCTACAGCCCAGTGCATGCTAAAGGTATGTGAGCAGGTGTGCTCCGACCAGATACAGACTTTTACAAATGTCAGTTTGTGAAGAAACACCATCGCAGACCGAGTTCAGGAACTAGCAGCAATCTAACAACACAGCTAGCTCAGAGACGAGATACATCATCTGTCAGTGTTTGTAAGAGGCTCAAGGCAGACCTGACTCTGTGAGGAGCTCTTGGATGTAGCTGCCGTGCACGGGAACGACGGCAGGGCGGGACATTAGTGATGCAGAGAGGTGACAACAATAGCTTTGAACAAAGTTATTGTAATAACTTGTGTTTGATATTTGTCTTTGTTATTTTCTTTAATAGTTTGATCTTTGATAGAGTAATGTGGGTTTCTTAACCCTAAATTAAAATTATTTATGTTATAATAACAGAAATGTGCTTAAATATCATTTTACATTTATATAACTGCATGTACAATATTTTTACACTTGAATAAACAATAATCAAAAGCAGAGACAGTTATTTAACAATATGTTAGGAGTAGTTACAGTTATACAGTCTTACAGTTATAACCGGCCCTTTGAGGGAAACCATGATGCTGATGTGGCCCGGAGTGAAAATGAGTTTGACACCCCTGCTCTAGGTGTAGGTACAGAGAAGGATTAAAACAAAGTGCGTTTACCAGTTTGTTTGGGTAGCGCAGCACCATGGGCTGCACTGGGAGTCCTGGTATGAAAGCACCTGAGAAATATACGTAGAGGAGAGAAGACAAAAAAAGAGAAAAAATAAAACGTTCAAATCAATAACGACATGCATATATTAGCAAAAAGCTCCGGCCTGGCAGACGAGCTCTCTGTTGAGATTCTATAATGTCCTGCTGACAGACGAGCTGGTAGAAGCTACATACAGTATGTGTATTACTGGAGGAAGTCCTATTCAAGCTACAGGGTGAGCTTTGAATGCATGATAATGGAAACAAACGTACTAATGAGAATAAGGCTTCATTGTTTTTTAGCCACTTGGGGGTAGCGCAACAAGCTGTGAAGTTATTATAAGTACACAACATATTTTTGAAAGTTAATTAAAAAATTAAATTTGAACTTAAGTAAAGTGAATTATAATTTTACTGCACAATAGATTTAAACACATAGCTTAAATAAGTGTTAATATGTACATAATGAATAGGCCCTCAAGGCAGGGTGAGGCGATTTAACATTAACAGCAGAGGATCAAAAAGGAACCTCAAACATGGACGACTGGCTTACAACTTATTCTCACGTGTTGGTTTAGCTGCGAGTGTTTAGCTGAGAGTGTGAAAGAGCAAACATAAGAGTGATCACCGTCCTCAGCCTCTGAATAATAATATGACATATGATAGGACAGTAAGGGGACGGACAGGGAGAGGAGGGTGAACATGAAAGTGACGACTCTATGAAAAAAACAAAGGGACTGGACGTATCTGCAGAGGACGTCATGCACAGGTGGCACCAAGCACATTAAAAACACACACACACACACACACACACACACACACACACACAATGTTGCTCTGTTGTGCTGGGAGCCAGTGAGGAGACATAACCAGAGGAGACACATCAGAGCTAGACAAACACACAGACACACACACACACACACACCCACACACAGACACACACACACACACACACACACACACACACACACACAGAGCAGGGTGAGACCAACAGGGCTTACTGGGAATGATAAAATGAAAGACTGGAAGAAAGGGGATTAGACAGAGCAGGCAGGGAAGGGAACAACAACTGACAGTAACTCACACGCGGGATGTTAGCAGAAAAACAAGCCCCAAAAATATGGAAACAATCACATAACGAACGTTATGTGTCCTGCTGAGGTGTCCCCAAGCAAGACACTGAACCCAAACCTGCCGGGCCAACATGAAATGAACTTGCTCGGACAGCTACACCTGGAGTTGGCAGCTATGCAGTCAACGCCAGGCACACAGAGTTATACTGAACAAAGGGATTACATCACATCTCCCTGTTAACACAACGGCACACTCTTGGCTGGATATTACCAAGAACCACAATCCAACTTTGTTTTAAGCTGTGGTTTGGACGATTATTGTACCAGCTACTCTGAAGAATACCAACCTTCGTATTGACTTTGGATCGCTCACAATTGTTATTAAACAGGAATAATTTTAGCCTCAGGACAAAAAAAGAAGTCGGTTTCATAACCTTACCGTGCAAGTAGTCAAGTGCCTACTTGTGTGATGTATTACTGATAATTGCCAGAATGAATTCAAGCGTGTAGGAGTTTACTGCAGACCGCTCTGTTCATAAGAACATCCCATCTCTCACGCGATTACAAATAAGTATGGCAGCAAATAAGAGGAATAAGTATATGAATTGTAACAGCCACTGAACACTTAATATTGAAATTTAAACAACTGAATTCATAGCATTGAATAAATATATTACTTTGAAAACAGATACAGAAATTCAAGTTGAAAAATATCATGGTACATGACATTACATGGTATTTCAATGTAATAAAAGGTCAATATTAAAGTTACAGTTGTTGTGTTAATACATTAACAATAATCACACTGAATCCATCATATCATATCATCTAAACTTGTTCACATCAGCTGATTTACATCAGTCCTAAAACCAGCCTGAAGGTCCATTGCATCGAACAGCTGCACTGGTGTGAAGTGAGGGAGACACTTCGCTCTGAATACTGCTTTGAAGTGGTTTTAGGAGAAGTGTGCATGAAGTGTGGATTAAGTGTGCAGGGCATTTTACGACGCGGGACACGTTTGCCTGCTACCTGCTGTCCTTTAGTCCTTAGAGTCCACGTTGGGTAGCTCTGGCTCAATCATGCTATTTACTCTAAAGTCTAAAGCTAAATCTACATGAAGTAAACACGTGCATGTTTTCTGCTACATTTTACTGCAATGAGATTGTTTTGAAACACACACACGGCTACCTTCCACCTGGTTTCATGACGCAAGAAAAGGGACTGAACTGAACACATACCAGCCTTGAACAAGATGAGCCCCGACCTGTTGGTGCACGTCCCCTCTGGGAATATCATGATCTGGAACAATAAATACACAGTAAGGCTCAAATACACACAAACATCTGGCTCTAACTCTTCATTTGAAATTGCTCTTGATCTGTTTGATCTGAAGTTCAGATCAGCGTTTCTCTGTGTGTACATATGGATTCATGTGCAGTTTAATGTGCTTTACCTGAGGCCACTCCCCTCCGGACTGGGCTCTCCGCTTGATCTCCTCGACAGTTTTTCTTCTGGAGTCCTGATCCGACCGAAACACAAACACCGGCCTGATGTAGCTGATCAGAGCTGGGAGGACGGTGGTGTAGAAAAAGATTAGGAATGAACGCCAGATCAGGAGAGAAATGGTTTAAAGATCAACCCATAGAGATGCATGTTGAGCAGTTGAAGAGAAAGGGAGGTTTTCAGCGCAATTAAGGATTCCTGTTTCCAATGAGAATTTGGTTTATAGATATTCAGGTGTGAATTGGTTCACACAAAAGTTGATTATCTGGCTTTAAATTATTTTCTTATTACAGTCTGGTAACTTCTACAGAGCGGTTGGCATTAAATGGAGAATATGTTTAATGTCATTGTGGGGCATTAAATGTTTCGGTAAATCGATGGTTCGAAGAGGTGACGGAAAAGTGTACTACTCACTGCCCCAGACGGGAATGCTCCTACTCTCCAGCTTGGTGACTATGGAGCACATGGTTAGGGTGACTGGGATGGCATCAAAGTAGGAGGAGTGTGGTGCCGCGGTGAGGATGGGAACTTCAGACTGCGCCGCCCGTTCACCTTTCACTTTGATCCAATGGAAACCTCCGCAAAACCACATGGCCCGCATGATCACACGTAGACACAGGTCAATAAACCTGAGAAAGGACACGCAGGCAGTTGATGCAAAGTGTAAATTCACATTACTGTAATGGAGGTTAACAATTTACGAATTTCAGCAGGAAAACAACGTTTCAGGCTCGTCAGTGCCTAAAGATCAACTTCTGTTTCATATCTCAAAAAGTGTTAATCCAGTTGCTTCAAATATGTTCATACATCTCTTTTGTCCTTTGTTTATTCATTAAATTAAATAAGGCATATTGTTTTCAGCAGACACCAATAAACAAGACTGCGCTTATCAAAGGCCTTGTTTGTTTGGATCCGTTTATCTTAATGCTATCTTAATCCCATATGTTTTGGTAGCACTTACACACTTTCCTAAACAGAAATATTCCACACACACACACACGCACACCTCATCCACCTCGACTGTGGCTCAATGACGAAATCAGATCGCCCCAGGGAGGCTGTGAAGGCGAAGGGCCACGCCAGCAGCATGAGGAAGGACACCAGCAGCAGCCGCACTGGAAACACTGTCACCGACATTAGTCCTATCTGAGGAGAGACAGAGAGATACGAGCCGTCACATCGTTATCATTCCACTGCTCTTTCACAGCATAGTATTCACTGTTCAGCTGTTTCACATTCCTACTGCTTTTCAGCCAACTGTCATTTAACATACTATACATTCCTGCTCAGCGGACGAATACGCCTACACACATTCCATCTGTGTCTTCAGAAAGCCATGCTCTGATAACACCTTCCTGGCTATGGACCCCTGGAGCTCACAGGCTTATATGTCCAATATCTATATAGCAATACTTTCAGCATCGCCTTTTACAGAGGAGCTTAAGGTGACTCGGGCCGGAGGGGCGATGCTGTTCAAGCGACCCCACGGTGGTCCAAGCAGGGGCGGAGGTAAAAACCACGGGTGAGCTCTATTTGAGAAATATATCTGTACGACGAAAGTCATTATTCAGTCTCCTCAACAGAAACACTTTCCCAGAAATGTTTAACTCCAGTGCTCAGGTTTCATTGAGAGGTGGCACTGCCTGTAATACTGGGATCAGACTCCGGGTGGAGAGAACAGCAGAAACACTCTCCCGGTAATGTTTAACTTCCAGGCAGCCCCGACCGTATGAATAACTGTTCCAATTTAGTTTGTGTATTTACTTTTAAATGTCTGTTTCATGCCTACCCTTCTTATACGTATGATGCTCTTAATTTGCTGTCTTAAAATGCCATCGGGAAGTTAATTCGGTTCATTTACACTTTTAAATGCATTCAATAAATTGAAATACATTTATATTAAGTACTTTTGCAGCCGTATACTTTAATAGTTGGTGAAATGTAACCGTTTTTTGTAAGGACAATGCATCTCAACAAGCTTATCCTGCAATCAATGCACTATGCAATAAGGAATGAGGGGGTTTTGCTGAGCGTTTGGCATTATCAGAAAGGGCCTTTCCATTTGCATAACGGCAGTGAGGTTTTACTTTATAAACAGGAAGGAAGGAAAAAACGATAAGGCGACTTTGCAAACACTGTGGTTAAGTTGAACCAAAAGTCACTTCTCCAAAATGAAGTTCACCGAAGCGCCACAGTGGAGATGAGCAGTGTGTGTGTGTGTGTGTTTGCGTGTGTGTGCAGTAACTGGGTCACATAGTCACAACCTCCAGTGTAAATTCAGACTGTGTGACACTTTCAGCTCCTTCCTCCCCTCTTTATCCGACTTCTGCTCGATCTCCCGCACCTTCAGCGCGCTCCCTCATTCCCCTCTCATCAACCTCCCGCCCTGCTTTACAGTAGTCACCAATCCCGGAGGACTTCCTCACCTCGACCATCCATCCATCCATCAGACCATCCAACCATCCATCCATCTTTCACTCTCCATGTCTATTTGCTCAGCTTCACCTTCATTTATCATGCTGCTCCCCCTTCAAATGTTTTCCTCCTACTGGGCTTTCTGTGGCCACTCTGGGGAATCATATCTACCCCTCCCCCCTCCCTCTCCCTCTCCCCCTCCCTCTCCCTGTCTGTCTTTCCTGGTCTGTATTTCTCTCTCCGGAGGAGGAGCACAGGTGCACACTGCAGGGCTATATTAATAAATAAACAGTATGGGAGAGATTTATGATGCTCCAACGCCTCTTCTTGCCTTCCCACCCCCATGCCTGACGCACAGTGCACTCATCATCAGAGCTTAACGAATCCATCTGGGAGGATCTGCTGACATTCTCTCAGGAGGTGGCATGAGAATGAGCTGGGGCGTGGTAGAGGGGAGTAATTGCTGGTGTTTTATGTGAGCACCGGACCCATCCTCCACTGATGATTTGAAATTCGCTATAAAAAAAAAAAGCTGCTGCACTGCCGGGCTCCCTTGTAACACACATCCTCACTCTCATAAAAAGGTATCTTCAAAGTCTTATTCTCTGAGTGCAACCATTTGTTACTGCACTCCTTATATTATTAGCCCTCAAACGCCTCCTTTTATGTGCAGGATTGAACATAACAGTGTGTTAAAATAACCCATTGATGACAGCTCCCGTCAGAGCCACAGAGGAAAATAAACAATTTTTAGAGGCTGAGTGGTACTTTTTATGACAAGTAAACTGATTTCCTATTGCCTACTCCGAACGAATATACATAGTAAATAGAGGCAAATGTCTTTTGACCCGAGGGTAAAGTTCAGTGATTTGTGAGGCCATTCTGTTGGATGTTAAATATTCAGGAGACTCTGGGAAGAAGCGATGGCCCCATTGTCTCCTGATGCACACACACAAACCCACACCTTCTGTATGTATGTAGGGCAACACTAAAGCTGTCCTGGGCCATTAGAGCATAGAGTCACACAGTTTACGTGATCTAAATATTTCTTCAACCTTCGACGGACTCTACCGAACAAACGAATGCACCACCGGCAACAGCCTGCCAATAGAACAACACATTGACTGGCAAGCAGGTTCAAAAACACAAATAATCTCTGAACACCAAAGGCAACGAATAGTACCTCTGTACATTAGAGAGTCAGTGAAATGGAAGAGCGTTAGAGCGTCTTCAGCTTCTGCACTGTGATGTTTTCCCCAGTGGAACTGAATTATTGAGCGGCGTACAGTTACAAGAGGGATTTAAATCAAATCCTTCAGTTCAGTGGCAGATTGATTGATGGACGGATGCCGTGGTATTATTGGTTGGTACTATGTTACGTAAGCACACGTCAATTTTTTTACTACGCAATTTATTTTTTGTTATATTTTTTGGCCTATAATGTTAAATTGGTGCACGGTATTACTGGGGATGTGATCGAAAGACATTAATCATTTCATATTGACTTTAAGATACTGAGATAACGAGACTCTACAACCATGCAAGCGTCTCTGTGAGGCTTTAAAGCACAGCAGTGCTTTGAGCCGATATTCACAACAGCCCTCTAACATGCTCACGATAGTTTAGCACGTATATGGTTTACTATGGCATTTTACCATGCTAACATTTGCTAATTAGCAGTTAACACACAGTTCAACTGAGGTTGATGTTAATGCTGCTAGTTCTGCAGGTATTTGGTCGTAACACACATGGCGCTGGAGTAAAAGCCAGGCGATAAAGGTTTTTACAGTTCATCATCTGGGGACCAAGAATCCAATCAATAAACATACAATAAATGTTGAGCTGTTAAAAAACAAGTGTCCATCTCATGGTGTCGCCAGAGGGACAGGAGATGTCAGGAGATGATCAAAGTCAGTAGATTAGATTGTCTAGGAAACATGAATATCTGTACACAATGTGGTGCCAATCCATCAGGAAGATGTTGAGATATTTCACTGAATAAGTGAGACTTTAAGATGTTGGAGTTGCTGTGGGAAAACCAAAGTCAGTAGGATTCATCCTCTTGGGAACTAGAATATGTGGAACAAATAAGTGTCAAGATATTTCCTTCTGAACCATGAATGTCAACCTCATGATGGTGCTTGAGTGAAGGTCAGGGGATGAGCGAAGTCGTTAGGGTTCATCCTCTTAGACGTACACTCCCATGAATGTCTGTACACATTTTCATGGCAAAACCATGCAACAGTTGTCGAGATCCAGTATTTAATTCGTGGTGGAGCGAACGACAGACTGACATTGTCAGTGACAGGGCATGATGTCATTTTTCTTTGGGATGAGTATGTATCTAATAAATAAATTATACCGATTCATGTATTGATCCATATCAACAACTTTGATCATTACCATTTTTGTTTTTCATATTTATCTGCACTGACACTGACTGACATACTTTTCCATTGCCATGATAAATAACACCCAGCTCCCCTGTGCTATGTGGCCCAGCACTCTTGTAAGTGCTCCATACCCTGCAGTGAAGGCTAATTGGCCTTGGTTATTTGTTTTCAATTAGCCACGGGAAGTGTGCTCTGATTCCACTTGGGAGCCAAGGAAGCACTCAACCCACCGTTAGTCATGTTGTTGGTGCACAGATTGTTTTTTCGTTACTCAAATACTCTTAAGGTCACACCCCGCCTTAAATATTTACCTTGAAGGAAATATGTGCTGGTGAAATTACCCAATATCTCTATACTTCACTCTTAGCTGACGCTAAAACAACCATACAAGCAGAATATGTTTCGATACTGAAATATCTGACATTTATCTCAAATGATTTCCTGAGATTTGAGATGTGCCACAGTCCAGTGTGTGGACATTGCAGCTCTATCGGATGTCACAGGTATATCGTCTGCAAACTGGAGAGTTGGTAGCGATGTCTGTATGATGTTGACTGTTCAACAATGTGTGACTCAGCTGAAAGGAGCGCGGCCATCTGTCCGTCAGAAAAGCTTGCTGACCTAGTTAGTCCACAGTGCAGCTGATCATGTTTGCTGGAAGTTGGAAAAACAAAGTACCAGGGGAGGGAGGATGTGCTTTATGCATTAAGCAGCACATATTGTCTCAATATGACAGACCCACACACACACACACACACACACACACACGTCGTGCTGTTATTTAGACCTAGAGCCTATGGCATCCATGTAGGAAGTACGTTTTTTTTTGTCAAGGTCAAGCTTGTGTTTGTTTAAACAGGGACTGCGCGTGCATGCAAACTAATAAGTTCACACGTGTGTGTGTTAAGTGGAAAAACACACACCTCTCTGCCACGTTAAAAGCAGGCAGTGGAAGGTGTGAACTAGACACATGGTCCAGCTTACAATCACTGGACTGCTGCCGTCATCTGGCACAGACACGCAACTGTTTACAGTAAAGTGCAAGCTCCAATAGAAAAAAATGACGTGTACTAATAAAGACTTTCTTTCAGCAGGAACAACACTGGGGAAACAGGTACAGCATTCAAGCTGGCTGAAGTGAAGTGGTTAGAGGGTCTTCACAAAGCCAAGCTTAAAAGCATAGCTTACTGCGGTGAAAGCATGGAAAACCAAAAAGGCAGAAGGGGTTTAGCACTTTTCTCAGCGGAGCGTGATTGTTGGGAACCGGCGGTGTCCACATAAAGGCCGATTTCCTGAGCCTAGTGCTTTGTGTGTTTTGCTCTGAATGAAAGCAGGCATCTCTGAGCCCTGGAGCTACGGGACAACAGATAAACCTGATGGGTGTGCACTTCCTCCTTTTGTCCGATTGTGTGACTGCAAACAAATAGACTGAAACCCATATTGTTATATATTGATACTTGTTTGCAGTGGAATTTGTTTTAGTGGATTTCTCCCGGAAGAATGACGGCAAAGTGCCATTCGCTAAGCCACGCCCCCAAGCTGCTACTCTGTCAAGCTGTCAGAGTTACCGTGAAGCCCACACTGTCACTAACTGCACTCACTGAAGAGATATGATCTAATTTATGGGAAAAAAACTAAACGCCACTTCAGAGAGAAGACAGCATAAGGGTCTACAATATGCGTTATTGATATTTCCAGGATGTGAAACTGATTCAGCAGAGAAAACATGTTAGAAAGTAAAAGATAGAAGCTAAAGCTAAAAGACAAGTGTGAAGTGAACAACCACCTCACCTGGCGGTTGAGACAGAAGACAATGAAACAACACTATTACTGTTAAGCCTGTTAGGTCTTTATTCACTGTTCCAATCAACAAAAAGCAAAGGCAGAATACGTTCAGTTTACCTTCAGTAGCTAGTGTAGCATAGATGTGCTAACGCTAGTTATTTATGTCTTAATGTTCTTTTACTAAAAATCCATACGTTTTTACGTAACCTTAATGTTGTAGAAACATATACGTATCTCCTTCCAACCTCTCCGGGTAACGAGCATCGCTATTACATAACTTTTAACCATGATGAGCTCCAGATCCACAAAACCAGCCTGAAAATGAAGAAAATCTGAAACGCTTGTATTAGCGTCTATGGAGCAGAGCCGTATATTTGTCAGACGCTGGTCGTCGCTGGCCGATGCTACAATTTGATTGGCCGGTTAGCATTTGAGGGCGGGATTTAGTGAAGGATCGACTGAAAATGCCTTAGAATTAATCTCATCTTTATAACAAACCTAAAATGAAAGAAATGATCATTTAGGCTCCATGAAAACTGGATGAAATTACTGATTTAGTTGGACTTCATTAGCAGTCATCCTGTCAGCAGACCTCACCAATCACCAGGCCTGAGAACCCATTGATCCATTGGTTGATTAATGAGAAGGCCCTCCTCCAGCAGTGAGAATCAATCGATTTCAACGGTTGATTTAGGATGCAGCCACAGCTGTCGATCTGTATCAAAGCAGCAGAGTATCTCATGCAGCATGTAGCACATGCCTCGCTCTAACAAGGTGTGTGCTCTTCTTTAAATGTGCTACCATTGTATTTAAGTATCGGCCTTAGGATGGAGCAACCGTAACAGGACAGATCCTAGCCTTGACTTTAACCTAACCCAAACCATAAGTCACACTTGCTATGCTATCCTGGAAACTGATCCACTCTAATAAGGACTATCAGAGTACACATGACACTCAGCTTGTGCTAACAGTGTAAACACTGTGTACCTGGGAGTCAAAAGAAACTGCAAGAAACAGAGAAGTGTAGACTGACAAAAGGTGATGTGAGAGAAAGTAAAGTAAATGTTGACATGCTCGGCATATCAGTATGACAGTTGAACAGTGCAATGAATAAATAAATAAATAAATGGTGCATTTTTTGCTTCCCACTGTTGATAGTGGATACAAATCTAATGCAAATGTTTGATGCAAATTTGGTCAATCAAGAATAAACTGTGGCTTAGCAGATCCATCCAGGAAAATGTGGAGTAGTGGCCGAACCCATATTGACCCCACACGTCTCAGATGACACTTATTATGGAGAATATGGAGCAGCATGGCAGTCAGGTAATAGATAACCAGAAAATGATAACTGAGTTAACTACTTGTTTCCTTTTCCATTTTATCTTTGCAGATCCTGCCAACCTTACTGACGGCTAAACAGTTATTAGTTCAAAACTACAAAAGAAAAACTTTTTCCAATAAAGGTTTCTTCTGACAATAATAAATTAAGTGAGTTCAAGATTTATCATGGATTTATGTGGTTGTTTTCAGCATAATATAAGCCTATATTAAGCCTAGAATACTAAGGTTAATCCTAATGAGCATGCATTACAGTGAGCTATCAAATGCTGTGAAATATATGACGTGATTTTTAAGAAGTGCATGCATAAAAGTATTTTCATTATTATTATTATTGTTTGTTTTCATCCTTTAAGGACCACTTAAATATGGGAATTGCTCACAAATAATACTCACTACTGCCAGGAAAACATTGTGGAACTGCATGTCCCAGATAGTCTGAGTTTCAATAACTTGTTTTTTTTGTTTTTTTTTGTCAACTCGCCAGCAAAACAGGAAATACTGAAAGTGTCTGAGTGCTTTAACAAGGTGGGAGAAGTTTAGGTGCAAGTTAGTAAACACACTACATGCACAACAAGGCACTTGACAGTTGCATACAATGACTGAAGGATGACGTTCTTTTATAAAGTTGAGTTAGATAATAAATGTATCTTTTGTCATCTTAATTGTCTTACCTTTATTGTCTCTGTCAGGGTGAATTTCAGCTCGTGCACGAAGGGGTTTCTGCCCACTCTGGAGGGGCGACTATTTGATGACTTCATTGCTGAAGCCCTGTGACTCACACCTTTTAGAACAACGAAAGAGTCCAAATGTGCCGTAACGCTGGTTGAGCTCGTCGTTAAACGCAGTAAGGAGCGCGCGCCTTCTTCTGTTTTGAGTCAGCCCTCCTCAGCCCAGAGGAGAGAGACTGGAGATGGAACGGGGAAGAGCAAGCTAGCGAGATTAAACGACGTGACTTCCGGTTGTAAGATTCAAAATAAAGCTCCTGTGGCTGTGGCAGGAAGTAGGACAATGCAGCCTATCTGTAATTTTACAATGAAAACTAAATCTGCTCCGTCGTATTGTTTGCATGCCCAAATAGTTACCACCATGCGCTGGAATTAAAAAGGCAAACAATTTTTTTTTGAAAAAGTGCATGCCAGTTTAAGAGAGTACCTCTCAATTTAACACAGTCTATAATGCTCTAAACTATTGATGAGCATGTTTATGAAATCCAAAATTATCTAATATACATTTAATATACATTAAACGTACAAGTACTCAGTAAGCACCATCGTGTACGAGCTTTTATTTCGTAGGCAATGACCAAATCTGAAAACCTGGTGGAGCGTGAACGCACCCACGCCCAAGCGTCCATGTCACATAAAGTTCCCTTTTTAAAACAAGAGCCCAATCTTAGACAATCTTACAATAAGATTAAGCATTTCAACTCAATAGAAATACAACTATAAACATGTAAAACGTTCTGCACTGGGTGTGCCACTGTAAACTCAGAACAGGTTACCATTAACATAAAAGCCCTGGAAATGGTGTTATGTTACTTATTATGTGCAGATCTTGTGCAAACTGTGTGAACAAATGGGCTCCACCCTTTAGAACAACATGAACCTTTTGAATAAGGGTGGACATTTGAAATATTTAAGTCACTCAGTGACAAAACACAGACACACAGAAACACACACACTGATAAAAAAGAATATGAGGATAACTCTGACTGTCTGTGGAATGTGTGTTTGAGATGGAGCCACACAGGAAGCTTTTGTTTGTCCATGACCATGTGCTTCAGTGAAATGCCACTGATATGTTGGCTCAATTCCATCCTGCGGTGCTATCTGGAAATTGACTATAGAAACACTCATGCAGTAACATTATGAGTTCACGCAAACAGGAGTTTGTTGTTCCTTGCTCGTCCATCAGTAAACATTAACCTGTAGAACAACTAAGCGCTGTCACTCAGTAGCCTCAGTGTTTGTTGCCAAACAACGTTCAACCCAGTTAGTTTTCCATGCCTGCACAGTGTGAATCTTACAACCTGTCGATACTGTTGTGTATTTCAGTAATAATACAATGTCAGGAAAGGTGGATATAGATATTGGTATAAACAGCTAGTTTCTGACGCAAACTCAAAACCATGTACGCCATGTCCGAAACAAGAATCTCTTTGTGAGTCAATATTGTAAAGACACTCTTACTTACAAAAGGTAACAGTGGTTAGAAAAGGGGAGTCAACGTGATGAAGTGTCTTCCATGGCAGGATGGATCCTGTGCTCATGCAGCAGAGACTTTAGCGCCCTCATGTGGACAGATGACAGAAAGGAATCTTACAGAAAATAGGACGATATCTGTGTGATAAAATGTTTACTCCAAGTTAATTGATTTGTCCCACCCCTCCCCCCAAAATACTCTAGTGATTTTAGATAACCAAGATACCACGATAAGTTTGGAAGCTTAACTTAATTAAACTTATAGATATGTTCAAATGGTGTAGAAGTATGTATGAATGATGGTTTTGAGAATGCAACAAATCAGTTTCTTCACTGTGAGAAATGTTATGTATTTTGGGCTGTTAACGAGGGAAACAGGAGGAGGCGTGAAAAAGCTATGGACATTCTTCAACCAAACACTTTATTTTTAAATCACAGTTCTTTTCAGTTTCCAATACTCAACACTCCTTTGTAATTTCAGCCCTGTCTCTGCTTGTGTCTGGGATTTGTCTTGCAGAACACAAACAAACGGCCCCTCCGTCGGACAATGAAACAGTCTTTGCAGCGCCTCTTCAGGGCAGACTTGGTTTTCATCCCCGCAGAGGGCTGGATGCAGGGAAGATGCTGACACTGTCCCAACAGAGATGGTCCACGCCGAGCAGAGGAGCCAGACGAGGGGGGCTGGATGGAGCCGACTCTGGTTGGTGACAGGAGTAGCGTGCGGGGAGCTGTGGTGAGGGTGCAGAGACATCTGTAGGCGCTCGCTGCTGGGGAGGAGGTCACATTTAACCTGCTCATCTGGGCCACTTGGCGAGTCAGGGAGGCAGCCAGGTGCTTCAAGAGGAGGGACGCCATGGTGCCAAAGGCTGCAGAGGGAGACAAAGAGAGGAAATTCATATGCAAATTATAATTTTGTGATATAGAACTTTTTTGTCTTGGGATTGATTGGCAGGTTGTGATGCGACTTAATTGTAAAAGTAAACAGTAAATAGAAAAATACAGTTTTTAGCCCCTAAAATATGGAGATGTCCTGCAATTTCTTGTATTTTGTATTATATTAAACTAAATATATTTGGGTTTCTGACAAAACAATACATTTAAAGACTTCAGCTCAAAGCTCAGTTAGTTCAAATTATTATTTGTGTCTACAGGCATCACATATATAATTCACCACTGCAGGACAGCGTCAGCTATGCAACATGCCCAAGGAGACGAGCATGTCAGTTGACCTGCTAGCGCCAAAGCTAGACATAAAAAATGGCCCATATATAAGTCTACATATATATACAGAATCAGAGAACACAAACAAACCTTTCAGGAATCCCTAAAAGATTAAAAACAGGGGATACGTCCCTGAATGTTTAGTTTTAATCGCCTCAATGCGACCGTGTTACTGTTCTTGTCTGTTCTTGCTTGTGAGGATAAAACTGCTTCCGGTTTGAGATTATGCTGTATGTTTTTATACCCTCAGTAACGCCTGTCAGGAAGTTTTTTTGTCGCACTGGCTTTGGCCAAATATCGCATTCCTCATCCTTAGCAGAGCCAAAATCCAAAGTAGCCGAAGTTTTACATGTTGTATTTTACAACACATACCGAAAAACAATGATTTCACAGGAAAGCTTATCGGAATACATAGTGCTTCGAACCTAACAGACAAAACCTAGGAAAATAAAATTCTATACAAGTGTCCTCTGCAAGGCATCTTGGGAAAAGAGGCTGTTGTAAACATGGCGTCCTCGGTGTGTAGAGTCTTGTCCTTCACTAGAAATGCTAAGGTGCTTGCTTCACCTTTGAGGCTGACCGCCATACCTGTTTATCGCTACAGCGTAGAAGTATCCAGCACCGGTGAGGCCATCACTCACACCGGCCAGGTGAGCTTAAAAGCCATTCTGTCGTATTGCTGTTAGCGGATGCCCTAACGTTAGCTTAGCCTGGCTTACGTCAATGTAGCTGCTCGGACCATTAACCTTACGTACATTTGGATTTGGGTCTCAAAATGTTAATTTGTAACGTTAACGTTGGTGTTTTCCCTCTCAGGTGTTTGATGAAAGTGATCCTAGGAGAGCCAGATTCGTTGGCAGACAGAAAGAGGTAAGAATTAACTAACAAACAAGCTCAATAAAGCCCAGACAGCAGCTAATTGAAATGTAAATAGCTTAGTTAATTCTGAGCAAATCTAGGTTTGTTGTTGGAGGTAAAGTTACAAATATGAAACGACACTGCTTATGTGCATCTTAAATATTGTCAATCGTGGACATCTTATTCACAAATCAATTTATGCTCAAACTAGAACGTATTACCACAAATATTCAATGCAAACTAATTCAGATTACATTAAAAAAAACACTTAGCCATCACAATCAAAACATGCAAAACAATTGTGCATATACCACAACACTCTCACTGTGTCTTGTGTGGCCTACCTGATCCCCATATGAAGCTAGTTTTAGTCAGCCGACAATGACAGAAATCACGTTGTTTGTGTCAAGGTGAATAAGAACTTTGCAATCAAATTGGTGGCCGAGGAGCCAGTGACTGAAATTGGGGCCAATGTGGTGTCCTGTGATGGAGGTGGAGGAGCCCTGGGTCACCCCAAAGTCTACATCAACCTGGTAAGAGTCTGCACCTACTATTGTGATGACATACTTTGAGGTGGTCCATTTTGTCCAGCTTTCATCAGTTATTCTGAGTCATGGTGACTATTTGTCATTTGTTTAGCAGCAGCCAATACTTCGGTTAGTCCTGTGAATCACATTCCAGTGTTCATGTGGTTCATGTGTCACATGTTCCTACGATTCACTTGTATTTATTTAATTGGGATACATGAGATCCAGTCATCTGAGTCAGAGGAAACGGGTTAGGGTCAGATTGCAGAGATACAGTCTTACTCTCAGATAGATTAAGGAAACAAGACAATCTATAATATTTTCACATGATATTTTCTGTAGTTTGAGTATCCCTATAATCACCATAACAGCACATTTTGCAAATGTCCTAAATCATAAATACTAACTGTCATTGGTGTCTCTCTTTTTTTCCAGGATAAAGCCACAAAAGTGGGCACATGTGGCTATTGTGGATTACAGTTCAAGCAGAAGCATCATCACTAAACTGTTTCCTCTCTCTTTGCTTCTCTGTATAAATTGCCATATTGGTTAATAAATTATATGTTGTCCGTCAGTCTGTCTGAGAGTGCATTCTCCTTAACGAAGCCTGTTGAAGTCACTGTTTCAACACATCTGTGGCTACATAGCACTGTATGTGCACGATGCATCCACAATCAAGAGATTGTCTCCAAATGTTTCTCCAGTCCTCATTTCCATGGGACTGGTTGTGCAGTAGTGTAACTGGGACACTGGGTTAGTTGTTCAGTTTGAATTGCTGGATGCAGTTCCTTCTGTGACAGGCAGAGGTCAGCAGTGTCCTGCTGAGGTGTTTGGTCTGGTCCTACAAAAACAGAGACTGTTGTGCAGCGAGACATAAAAGCCAAGTTTACGACATTATCAATTGTCAACCAACCAAAAGGTTTGCGTGCAGCACAGCTATATTATCGTTGAACTATAATAAGAGCTGATGAAATTTGCAGCGCACCTTAAAAATCTGCTCCACTGTTATCTGCATGAGCAGGATTTTTTTATTTTCTTTCCTACTTCTTGTAGCGGATACATCTGGTTGCATTGCTTTGAACTTGCCTTTATCAATAAGCAGGAAAGACTCATCTCTACTGTTTACTGTAAAGGAGCTCTGAGAGAACCTTAGCATTCCTTGTGCATCGGTCCCACACAATCTGCGATGTAGAGTCTCGCTCTGCCAAGCCTGGAGGACATCAGGAGGGAGCCAGCCTGATAAGACACAGTAGCGCGGAACAATACATGTTTGAAGAAGATCATATATATATTTCATCGGGCTTATTCTCCATAGACCTCTGCATGCCAAATTGGCCCGTGCTTGGCTCAGGCTCCAGACAGCACTAGCCTGTTCTGTCCCCAGTGATGCAGCCAGTGGAACTGCATTTTCCACACCGTAGAGCTCAGGTTGGGAAGAGTAGTCGGGCTGATATAATTGGCCCTGGTGACTCCTGGAAGTGAGGCTTATGCTGTAGTTAACCTCATCTATAGTCGGACCACTTTGGATGATTGAAGGGAGAGAGGTGCATTGTTAAAATGAGGCAGGCGATCCGGGTCAGTGTCAGAGAGCTGACTGGTTGGTCTTGCGGTTGGTAAGTCTGAATGGTTCAGAGGCGGCGGTTGGCGGAGTTGGAGGCATTGCCCGGGGCGAAATCTTCAGATGAAACTGAGCATATGAATTGCGCTGAATTAAACAGCGCTGTGTTTTTGTGCTGGATTTAACCGCACTGTTTAATTATTCACTGCTCTTAAACGCATCAGCCGGCATAATAGAATATTCTTTAACATCAGAAATGTCAAATAACTCTGGATTATGAAGTTGAAATTCTGCCAATTTGCGCACGGACTCATTCATGGGTTCAACCTTAAACTGTCAAATCACCACAGGGGGTTTATGGCTACATCCAGTTATCCACTTTCTTTCAGCATAATATTGGATAATAATTGCAAATACAACTCTTACACATAATGTGACCTGTACTGTTGGGTCAGACCACTCAGACAAAGATAAGCTGAAATAATACTGTAATCATATTGAGAATCTCCTCACTGCTGAGCCACAATAGATAATGGAGTTAAATGCCATTGAATTCCTTAACACAGCACCCCTTCACAACAATCACTCACTCTGCGCAAAACATCCTTCTCGTCGCTGTAATTGCCCTATTAAAAGATTTCTCCTTGAAGATGTGTCATAATACAGACCCTCAGGCTCATTATGGAGCTCCCTGCAGCCAATTATCTGAACCGCCGTGTCTCAAAGCCACTGCGACCAAAAGGGGCTCATGGGCAGATCTGGGAGCAGCCCGTCCTCCTCAAATCTAAACCGACTGTATGAGAGGCAAAACAGAAAACTGACCTTTGGTCATTGTCTCGGGGCGACTCCACTCAGCTCCACTTTAGAGTCAGGTGACAGAGCTTCTGACCTTTAGCATGGAAATAATGACTTGTACTTGTGCCAGGGGCTCCGAGGGTTACCGCAGGGAGCGAGACACCTCTGGCGACATGTGACAGATTTTGGAGGAGAGAGTTTGCACTCACCACTTTGATAGCCCCGGGAAACCAAAGTGTGTGTGACAAGATGCAAGAGACTTAGAACTGTGTGTATATGCATGCCACGGTGTGTGTGTGTGCGACAGAGGCACAGACAGTGTTGAAAGGAAATAGGTGTCAGACGGTGTGTGCAGAGAGGAGTAATTTGAAGTTGTCAATACTTCCTGTGCAGACATTCCATCTTAGAAGAAGAGGTGAATCAGAAAAAGTCCCACAGAGTATAGAATGAATAGTATGAACAATTAATGGAAGACAAACATTACTTTTCTGAGTGGGGAAAAAAAAAAGTCTTTTGTCTATCACCCCTGTGTCAATTCTCTCATAAGACGCTGAAGGCCAAATAACTGCCGGTGGTATGAGCCAGACAAGTAAACAGTGGCTCTAACGTCCCCCGACCCGTACAGCAGCATCGAGGCTTAATCACATTATATGGCCCAGGGAGCAGGCCTTCGTGTCAGACTGGCTGTTGAGTGGCTCGCTTGTGTGTCGGGAGCAGACAGACGTGAGGTGAGACGAGTGGAGGGAGGGAGAGGAGACAAGGGGGGGGGATGGGAAATGAGATGTGGGGATAGGGAAGGAAACGAGGAAGAAGAGGAGATAGGTGACGGCTGGTGGAGTAAGGGGGGGGTGGGGGGGATGTGTGAAAGGGAACCATTTTAATGCCGAAAGAATCCGTCATATTCTTAAGTTTTGACAGTAGTTATGCTTCATAATTATACTTTTCAAACATCGTCACTGATTTTAAAGTTCACGCCAGCGAGTTAGCGACTGGTGAACACGGAGGAGCATTTAGCAGCTGAAGAGCCAGTGAGTTGCGACCAAAAACAGAACTTAAAGGAGAGTGATTATTCATATTTTATATACTTAAATTTGCCAAGTACCCAAAAAACGTGGCTCTGTCTGCTGGATGTGTACATAGGAAACTGCTAGTTTATCATATCATAGTATCGAAGTATGTCAGCGTTGTTGTCGCAGCTTGTTTCAGCTGCCTCGGAGGGGCCAGAAATCTGTTCTAGAAGTTTAAAAAGTGAATTGTTAAGCATGCGCAGCTTTAAAATGGAAATATAAACAAACTATTTTAGCTGAAACTGAAACAGAATGAAGTGCTCACTTGATTACAGGAATTATGTTGAAACAAAGGCCATTATTTTGAAAAAACAAAACGATTTCCAAATAATTCTTAGTTAACACAGAAAACAAAAATGTGGAACTTTTAAAAAAACTTTTTGAATCAAAAGATTTAAGCTCTACAGTAAATTGCAGTATATTCGTGTGTGCACTTTTGCAGTTTTCCCAATGCTCTGCACCCAAGAGACAAGTCATGTCTCAACCAGCTAGAGGTGAGAACAAGCATAACCTTATGTCTCTTAACCCCACTCAGCACTGGGTCGCCCTCCACCTCTTATCCGACTGCCACTCTACATCCTTCATGACACCACCTCCTCCTCCTTTGAAGTCAAATCTACCTCAAGATTTTTTAAAAAGCAAAAGCAATCGTATAATTTCAAGTACATTAAACTCAGGGGAAAAAATTCTGAGCAAAAACATGGAAAATATATATGCAGCCGACCACAATGAGATCCTGTCGGACAGCGAGTGGAAGAAAGAAAACTTTACAGGAAAGAGAAGTCAGATGTCATTATTTATCATCCTAAATCTTACTTATTTATGAAGCAGAAACAGAATGAAATTCTCGGTTGAATTCATCCTGAATAATTTAATCTGAAATGGTTAATTCCATACAAAGCCCAGGAAGATCCCTCCTCTGTTCTGATAAATACTTTATCACTGTTCCTAAATCGAAAACAGGAGGAGAAAAGTGGGGGAAGAAAAAAAAAAAAAACTTCTCACTCTTTCCTGTTTTGCTTTGTTTTAGAACGTGTTGTGTAAAATGTTTTTCAGTGCTCAATTTGTGAACTTTTCTTTAATAATTGAAGTTGATGGAAATCCATTTTTTATAAAACGTTTAGGCCTTGTGACGCCAGCCTTATTCCTCTGTTTATTACGATGACGTTTCTTATTATTGGTTATATGAAATACTCACCGAAGTGGATAAAGATGTGACACTTACTTAAAATTACTTAAGAGGTTTTATGAAGCATTTTGCGCGTGGTGGATTTTCTTACAGTCCCAGGTTGACAAAGTCAAAAGCCGCCTAATGAAAAGGGACGCATCGCTGATTGCGGCTATATCTGGAGCCGAGGTGGAAGTGGCATCGATTTAACAATTTAACAGCACCCTCCTCTGTGTGTTTCCATTAGTCACGGCTGAATACCACCCACTTCCCCCCTTTCACTACCTCAAAACACACACACAAGCACACAAACACTCTCTCACACACACACACACACACGCACACACAGACATATCCAACGCTGCGGTGGTATATTCCACTATTCCAGAACAGGATTTACATTTTATAAACTTGATATCACTAGTGGTTCCAACCAAGGGCAAACTCAGAGAACATTGCCATTCTACAGAATACACCTTTTATTTTTGTGACTCAGTGCATGTGCAGGCTATAGTGCAAGTGTACAATATCGTATATTTTTTTTCATGTGTGAACCGTACAACCTTGCTGCAGGAACGTGTGTGGTGACACTTGTTTGCTCGAAGCCATCGGACCATTGATGGGGCCCAGTTGAGAGAGAGTACGGGCCTGTCAAAATGCCAGAATACGATCACATTGTTAATTGACCGTTCGCAAAACCCCTACCCCGAATGACAATTGTCCAATCATAGCTTAGCAACTGCAACTTGGCACACCAGGTCTGTCAAACTTTGGATTTCTCCACATGTACATTGGGCCTTAGTTTAGATTAAAACAATGTTTGTCTGCTCTAAATTAAGATGCAATCAATAAAATGTCTGGATTTACTACCTACAGTAACCGAGCATTACTTCCAAGGCCAAGGAGCACATCATTAACTCGCATTAACATCATTATTCATGGAGTTACAGTGTTTCGTTACACAACTAGCACGTCCATCCATTTTGGCTAACGTTAGCAACTTTCTAATGGATTTAGAGTTTTCACTCCAGCAACCTCAGCCAATGTTACCTGAGATAACGTTACATTTTTTCAGATGCATGTGTTCTACAATGTCTTTTAGCACAATATAGCGTATGCCGCCAACAAGTGCGTATTTAAGATACAGCGGGACACATTAGAAAGTCAACCGGAGTCGGATTTCAGATTTCCTAATATAATCACAGGTAACGTTTGGGAGCTTGCTAGAGCTAACAAAAAATGCCGCCAACAGTCAATTCAGACGGCAAACTCGATGGTTTTTGGCTAGAATTGAGAAGCCTGCTTTTGTCTACTGCTGTCTGGAATCTGGGATCCACTGTTTACATTTTTTTTTTTTTTTTTTTTAGAATTACAAAAAACAATTACAAACATTTTTCAGTGCCACTGTTATCAGCATAAACTGCATACGTGCTGCGCGAGAATGGAGAATGAAAAGCTTGACAGACGTAGCAACAGTAAGGGAGGGGGGGGGGGGGGGAGCGCTTAGCGAACAGCCAATCGGTCAACTCACAACAACAAAATATAGACTTTTTGTTTCAAGTCCAGCAGTCTTTATATTCCGTTGACGATGTGTCGGTTGGACTACAAAGATGACGTAGACCTAACAAGTTCAAAGGGCTGTCTGGGTGTTCTGCTGTCTATTACCACATCACTTAAGCCTTTCCACACCTCAACTGGTTTGAGCTGTTGGAAAGGGGAACCATGGAAAACTCCATCCACCCATTCTCTGAGCGTGGCGACCGGTGACTCCTGTTCCCTGTCTGCCTTGGTCAGCGCCATATTTGATGGATACCCAGGGGAGGGGGACCCCGTCGACGACAGCATGCAGGGAGGGTATTCTGGCTGCAAGCTGCCGTCCAACGACGCAGCAGTGTGAGCGATGGACCAAATTTTGGGCTTGGTGTCTGTACTTCGCGGGTCTGGATTAGGATAGAAGCCGTTGTTTTGCTGTTTGACCGGTGTGAGTTTGGGGCAGTCCGGAGACAATCTCTCTTTTCCGTGCAGCGGGTCTGGGTTGTGCGTGAGATGCCCATGTGGGAGGGCTGTGTTTGCATCACTGTCCACAGGTAGAAACCGTGGCTTCGGTTCACAGTCAGAACCGTCTGAATCCAGCAGGTCGAAGTCCTCGAGGTCACTCTGCAGGTCTGCACACTGTTGATCTGCAAGAATGAATCACACAGATAACACCAAGTCTGTGCATGCTAACTAAATTCGGGCAAATCCTGAAACCAGCTCAATGTGCTAAATGATTGAGGCACCGCTTACCGGGAAGGTCTTTGTTGTTTTTAAGGGGCTTCTCAGCTTCGTCACTGTCATCATCACAGCCCCGATCGTCAGAGCTTTTGCAAGCCCGCGGTGACCACGTCACCTTGTTCTCCTTCTTTAGTCTCCTGCGTGCATTAGCAAACCATGTAGACACCTGAGGGATGGAGGGAATGCAGGTCAGAGGGGAATATAAAATCATACGTATAGGACATTAGTGAAGAGAAGACCGAGAGGGAAAGGGCAAAAGTAAGAGAGAGTGTGAAATAAGTGAAGCAAACACAAAGAAGGACAAATCATTTAACGCTACCAGAAATGGATTGAGGGTAAACAAGAATATTTGGAAACTAAACTCTGGAATGCACTTAAATCCAACATTTTAATAAAAGCTACCTGTGTGAGGGTCATCCTGGTGATGATGGCAAGCATTATCTTCTCTCCTTTTGTGGGGTAGGGGTTCTTCTGGTGTTCCTGCAGCCAAGCCTTCAGGGTGCTGGTGGTCTCTCGGGTGGCATTTTTACGACGTGAAGCGCCGTCAGAGCAGGAATACCTGAGCCAGATGGTGACAATCCAAATCATATTTAGCTATGTCATACCTAAAATAAGTGAATTGCTTTTGCTATAGTGAAAGGCCTCCCTCATGTATGGATAACAACTGCCTTTGAATCATATATTAATGATAGCGTGAGGGGGACCATACCATGAAGCACAATTACAACCTTGCACTATAGTGTAACAATGATGCCAAGACATAAAAGAATATGAGGTCACTGCAAACGAGCTTCAGACACTAGAAGTATTTTTCATTATTGAGTCTGCAGTTCTGAGTGAAGATATTACAGTTTTGAATTGACAAAATGTGGTTTAATTTAAGAATAAAAGAACTCGGCCAATATGCGGACTTTGACTTACCCATATCTGTCATATGGATATTGTCCAAATGTATAGTCATAGGGATAGTAGGCAGGAGTCTGAGAGGTCCCCACAGATGCAGCTCCGTCTTTGTGATCTAGTGGCCCCTGAAAATATTTAATAATAACTGATCAGAATCCATAAAACATTACAAAACGTTTTCACAGCATGTACTCTGATACAAATGATTGATTGACTTCAGCCTGAAATTACCTTTCTTTATTTAGACTTTTTTTCTCCATCACATATAAGTATAATATTTACAAATCAGTCTAAAAAAATCTGCATTCTTAAACAAAACTACAAGGTCACTTTTTCAGCCCTTCTTTCCTCATGTGTCTCCCAAAATTAGAGACGATGAACATCAAGCATTTTTAGATAAAGGCAAAGTGATACTAATAAAGAACTGTAAGTGCAAAGTGAAACTCACTCTGGGATAGAGAGCGGTGGCGTCGCTGCCGCAGGTGTTGTAGTAACCTTGGCTCTTTGGATAAGTTCCGCTGTAGACTCCAATGCCGGTGGTGGAGGTGAGCTGGTGGCCCGGGGAGCGCAGCACCGGGTGTGACGGAGGCGTCCCCGGCTCCAAACAACCGGCCAGAGAGCTGGAGGTCATCAGAAACTTTGGCAAAAAAAAAAGAATAATTAAGCTAATTTGTCCAATTACCTTATCAGTGATAAAGTTATTAAAAGCTATGTCCCTCACACGAAAACCGCTCAAAATGTAACAAGTTATTTAGTTGCGTTTTATGTTGTATGTTTACTGTTTTATTGTAATGTTTTTCCCATAAAAGTAAAAAAGAAGTTGGGTGTTCTGATTGCAGTTATTTCTCGAAAAAATGTAGAACATGCGCAGAAAACAATTATTGCTGATAAACTGACTTTGTCACATTTTGTGATGGAATCAAGTGCCTTATTTGACAGTGTCGTAGTATATTTTGTTAATTACAGTAACTGTACCTGCGGTGTGGTGGAGTAGGAGTATCCCAGCTGAGAGTAAGCCATAACTCAAATGAGATCAGAGAGACAAAAAGCAGGACTCGGGGTGACATCCAACAGCATCCGTGCCAAGGGTAGACGTTTTGCCTCTGTTACTAGTTCACAGCTGGTTTTCCATTCAACTTTTCAGGGTTTAAAAATGTGGATATCATCTACCGCGAAGACATTTACGCACCAGTCTCATTTTATGCACCACGACCAAAAGTCTTTAAAAGTGACTTCCTGGCGTCCCTCCCCGCTCCGCCTCATTCACCAAGCTGCTGCTGCAGCTCCTACAGTATCACCGCTATCTCACAATCCAAAGCGAGTGTGTGTTGCGTTTGATCAAACCATGCATCTCCCTGTGATGCGCTCTTTGGTTTTAAGGCGCGTCTCTCTGACGTCACTCAGCCCGGACTCTGCGTGTGTGTATGTGTGTGTGTGTGTGTGTGTGTAGCCCGGTGTTCATATCAAGATGAAGAAACTCACCTAATTAATTGCTTCCCAGGTTTCCTTCAGCTCTTATGCAGGAGAACAGTTTCACGCAAGCGCAAGAGCAACCCCACCAACAATCCCCAGGCGTAATGAGAATGTGATCAATTCTCCTTTCCAAATAAGCGCACACACACACACACACAGTGCTATGGCCAGAGGGGGGATCAGGAACGTGATGCCTTGACACCACATTGACACACGATGATTGATGACTACAACCTGATATTAGCATAATCGTTTTGCCCTGTAGTTTAGATAAGTTGTCACCACAGAGAAATCTCCCTGTCATCCACATATTCATGAGTGGGGAAATTTCAGGTCTCCTCCAAGCAAATTAATCAAAGAATAAACACTCTCAGCATTCCCTCGAGTAAGCACCTTTACCAACTGAATGGCTTGTCATGTTTTTAATGACAAAGTCTTAAGCCGTCCTAGTGAGGTGGAAACATTTCTCTCATTTCTCTTCAATCCACCTTAAGATCGTTATTCATTTTTTATAGGTAGGGGAGGATGACGAGTATAGGGCAAGTGCAAAAGGGATGAAGGGAAATGTTAGAGGAGTTTGCAGTGTTTAAAATAATTGGATACTTTTGTGCAAAAGGGGCCGACGTGAAGAATGTTAGGGCTTTATTGATAGACAGAGAGGAAAGATCGTAGGGACTGTGTGGAAATTATTAGAGGGGAGAGGGTCAGAGCAGAGAGAGGCTTTTTTGGTGGAGAGAATGAAGTCTGAGATTTTTGAGAGAGCTTTTATTTGTTTATTTATTTTTTCCCACATTCTTGATACTTTGTTGAGATTTATTGTATTCATCAAATTGTCACATCACAAACATGGCTTTCATAGATTAGTTTGGAAACTTTGCAAGAAATGTCTCCAACACACCGGCCATGCGACTCAAACATCATGCGATTGAACTGACCGACAGTCAGACATCTGATCTCGTACTAAACTGTTTTTCCCAATAACATTGTGATGATATTTGTAATCGTTGGCTGGATAATGTTCAGAGTGAACATTTCAGCAAAGGACTTTGACACCACGTGTGTGGAGTAACATCCAATCTTCTGTATGTGGCTTGGTGAAGTCAGCTGCAGCAGATTTTGCCTGATGAAGGGTCAGACAGAACAAAAACATCTAAAAAACAAAACCATTTTTGTAATTTAGACAGTGATGGAGTTTATTTGCAGCATTTGATCCATGAGATGTGTCTCCATTTTAGTTAACGTTAGGTAAAGATTATGGTTTCTGTTAAATGTTAAGTCTCGATAAACTTTTTCTGTATTCCACCAGACGACAATCACATCCTAACATTGAGGATTTTCCCATGTTTTTGTGTGTAAGCGACAAACATTTTTCTTTTATTGGTCCAGGAGAATGCTGCAGCCAGCAACTGTAAACGGTCTGTAATTTAACAGCGCGGGACAACTCCTCACCGGTGTGCGGTTGAATGAATACAACCCACAATTGGCTAACCCCCCTTCTAGACACCAGTGGTCTGAAAGATGTCATAAAACACACTCCAAACTCAAAAACAAGCGACGACGTATGCAGGCAATCAGCTCGAAGTTGTCGTATAATACACCTCATACAATCTTGCAATGAAAAAAAATGAAACTCACCAAGCTGTCTGCGTGGGTGGGAATGGAAGAAAACTTTTATTTCTCTGTCTTTCTATTATGTTGTCAGACACTTGTAACAATCTGAGGCTGTAGGTGGCAAAAAAAAGAGCACTTTTAGTGTACGTAAATTGAGGGTGAGGAGTTGTCCCAAGCAAATTTACATTTCAGCTCATTTAGTGGCTGCCGTCTGCAGCGTACTCCCTTAAAACTGGAGCAATTTCAAAAATGATGATCCCCATTCGTCACTGAGGCACAATAACACAAGGAAACAGGTCCAGCTCCAACTGTGAGCGCTGCATCATCACTACAACAAAGTGAAATAATGCTTTAGTTACTAAAAGTGGATATTTTATTATAGCAACCATGGATGCTTTTGCAGAAAACAAATGAAATACCTTGTCAGTGAACATTTTACTGATAACTTGTTTGACTTGCCCGATAGTTAATAAGCAATATTTCATAATGTTAATAGAAGATGGATTCCGGTTGGCATCACGTTTCCTCCTGGTTGGGAACGATCTGGTGCCTTTTCCCATTTAAATCAGCAGCTCTTTGTTATGTTTTCCATAAATATATTATTTTAAGATCTTTGGGGGGGCGGGGGGGGGGGGGGGGGAGGAGTGTATTATTTTTTTTTTCTAGGACAAGGGGAGGTTCCAAAGCAAATGTTGATAATGTTAATGCTTTCTTATGTATGGAAAATGAAATATAAGAATCCTCCCAGCTCCCTACCCTAATCCTGTTTGTACAGGCCCTTTATAGCGGAAAGGTATGGGGAGAGTCAGAATGGGAAATCCATGAGAGGTTATGGGGAGAAAGAAGAAGTAAGGACAGCCGGATAAGAAACTTTCCATGCGAGAAACCCAACAAGAAGAAATGAATGTGGAAAAGAGGGGAAGCCTAAAAAGGGCAAACTTGGGGAGCAGAAAGAATCGTTAATAGTCAAGGGATCTGAAATGGAGCGAGGGGACGTGGAGGGGTAAAAGGACAAAATATTCCCAGTGCACCCAGAGTAGTGCTGGAACAACAGAGCTGCATCACCAGAAAGCATCGTGGGTGCCACCGGGGAGAAGGCATCTGTGTACCGGCGCTTGATTGACATTCCATTTGTCCCGTGAAAGGTGCTCATATACTGAACACGGACTAACTGTCTCTCCCTCATCTGTGCTCAAAGATTGGAAATGAAGTTATCTCCACACGCCGGCGTTGCACGTCTTCCCACAAAACACATGTCACTCACAGAGAATGGCAATTTGTTTAGCCACTGACTACGAACATGACGGTGTTTAATCTTGGTTCCATATAGTTCATGGTGAAAATGACTTGTGAGGAGGCCGGGTTTAACTTCCAAGCTTTTGTTACCTTCTTTCTGGGTGCATGCATTACATTCGGAGGGGCATACATTATGTTATTTCCCTCCATTTGAATATGAAATGCACTACTTATATATTAATATATTGTGTGTTTATAAATTTATGGCATTCCTCCAGTATATATTTCTTAAGGCTCTGCATTCGTTAGACCGTGATTATATCTTTCTGATCTTGCTCCCCAAACATCAATCATTCATTCAAGATGCTCCTCAAGAAGAGAAAAAAAAAAGAAAAGAGAAAGGGAATACATTCTTATTCTCTCCTTCCTGCATTAGGCTCTAGCTTTTATGCAGTAGGTGGGGCATGGGGGTTAATGATAGAAGCATGTTAATGTGAGAGGAGGAGGAGGGCTGGGTGGGTGCACAAAGTGTTTGGAAGAGGGAGCCAAACAACTCCAATCACAAGTTCTTTCAATCACACTGCGCCGCATTTGAATATTTTCTACCTTTAAGTCGGAAATCTATGCAATTTTAATCACTGTTTAACATGTAGATGCTTTTTGAGCCTAAGCTACTTCACCTTGAAACATATCTCAGTGGGTAGTGCTGAAGCGGACACATTGAAGTGAGAATGCTTCTAGCAACCGGAGTGAAAACATGACTTTGTTTCTTCAGCCTTTTTTTTGGTTGACTCTTAATCAGAGTCGAGAGGAAATGGTTCTATGTGTAGTCGACTGGTTACAGAAAAAATGAGAGGTTGACATTTGGGGAAAATAAGCTCGGCCACTTTCTGCTTCACTCATATATCTGTTAGCAGCCGGTTAGCTTAGCTTAGCATACAGACTGGAAACAGGGGGAACAGCTAGCCTATTTGGAGCAGCGGGTCATCAATTGAAACAAACAGTGTGTATATGTCCTTTTAAATGAGCTGAATTCATTGCATTTGTGTCAGTATTGGGCTTTTTTGGATGTCACTGCCAGTGATGGTACCTTATAGCCATTTCGCCACCAGTTTGCCTGTGATTTTCTCACCAAGTGGGAGATATCAGAATTTCCTTTGGTCGGGAATTTAGGATATCTTCAACTGGGAATAGTCGGAGGCTAATGTAAACACTTTCCCCCACTTGGCTGCTGGTAATTACAGTTTGAATGAAATGACGTGAATAGGGCATTAAGTGCCGAACAATTTCTTGGTTCACAGTGACTTCCTGGAGTCGCCACTGGCTGCCTGGCAACCTCAGAGACACTACACCTGTTAAACGTTCACAGATCAAACATTTCCCCGTTTCCAGTTTTTGTGCGAAGCTTAGCTCACCAGCTGCTGGCTGACATTAATTGGAGAAACGAAAGTGGAATAAATCTTCTCATCTTACACAGACATGACAACAAGAAAAGATAATAAAGTTATTCAGGTAGTATAGATGTTATGGGATCTACCTTCTGAAACTTTGTTTGAACAGCTGTCTTAAAGCTACTATGAGGAACTTCATTTTGTGTTGATTTTGGCGGTCCCTGTGGACAAAAGTGGTGGTGTTTCAGAACACCAGACTCCCTCTAGAGATAATCTCTAATTTTCTGCAGCAGGGTCTGACAGTCTACTCTGGTACTCCTGTTACCTCCCTTCCCTCCAGCAGGCCTATAGGGTCTGGGCCTCCAGCATCGTGGTGTTGGTGTTGGCTCCTAGCGGGGACAGGCGGAGCAGCATGGTGGAGCAACGAGGCAAAGCTCTGCTCTGCTACCGGCCGCCTACTGGAGCTCCAACTCCCATAAACCCCAAAACAGGTTGAACTTTGTGCAAAGCACTTGGTGAGCGGCACAAAAAGCCGTCGTGGTGCAGCACTAGCCATTTGAAATAATGGGTTTCAGAGAGTGGTGGTGCCGTTGTCGCGTTTTCTGTCTGAAAGGGCCTTC